TCTCTCTCTCTCTCTCTCTCTCTCTCTCTCTCTCTCTCTCTCTCTCTCTCTCTGTGTGTGTGTGTGTGTGTGTGTGTGTGTGTGTGTGTGCTGGAATCCGCGCCCCGCCACCTCATCACGCACGCAAGAGTCCAGAACTGCATGCGGCATCCCTCCACCAGCAATAAATTCGCTTCGCAAGAACGACCTCGCCCAATCCGCTAGCGTTTGCCATGACCCGTTACCGGACGGCGCCTCCGTGGCCGCCTTTCGCCCCGTAAGCAGTTCCAGAAGGATCACGCCAAAAGCGTACACGTCGATCTTCTCCGACAGGATTCCGCTCATCACGTACTCCGGCGCCATGTATCCGAACGTCTTCACCGCCGTGTCGCCGAACACTCTTTCTCCGATGGTCGCTAGTCCAAAATCCGCGAGCACGATGCGCAGCTTCTCCCCCGCGCCATCACCAAGAAGGACGTTGCTGCTCTTGATGTCGCGATGAATGACTGGCGGCTCGACTCCCCCGTGAAGGTAACTGAGCCCCCTGGCAATGTGCCAGGCGATACACATCCGCTCAACGAGTGTCAGAGGAGGGAGAAAAGGTCTTCCAGGAACTGCCTTCTCTCTGTGGTGCAGGCGAGCGTACAGACTTCCTCCCTGGCATGATGGAGTCTGCTCAACGTGTTCACTTCTGCCAGGAACATGCTTTTCTTTCCCTCCGTCAGATCCCCCGTCATCACCTTGATGGCCAAATCCTGATCGTCGATCGAGCCCCAGTACACATCTCCGAACGCTCCACTGTTCCCGATGCGGTATATCTTGCTGAAATTTTCTGTGCAGTGCTGGAGAGCTGCCAGCTAAATTCGTCTGACTTGCAAGGGCTGCAGTCACCCACCTCTCCCGCCCTCCTGGCATGCAACCCCCTCCCTAGTGCCATTGGTGGTACGTCCAATCTCGACGGTTGAGCTACCAGTTGCATTCGGCGACGATTTAACCTGCCCCTGTTTCCCTCCATTCCGGCGCGCTCTTTACACGAGGACACTAAGGCACGTGGCAAGCGCCAGGAAGGCTGAGATCGACACCGGCACCCCGACCTTGAGACCTAAATTAGTTCCTCGGGAGCTGGGGGGAACTGGCGAAGATCCTGAAGGCGAGGGCCCAGAAGATGAAGGCATATCCCAGGAAGGTGGGAAGAAGGGCGGGTCGACCGGGGGAGGAGTAGGCGCGCAAGAGTGGAGCCTTGAATTGTTGATTATCAGCTCGAACACGGAACCATCGGACGCTCCGATGTGCAGACTCAGTTCGCTGCCCGCTTGGCGAAGCGCCAATCCCGACAACCCGCCGGCACTGTATCTGGCGACGTCCTGTACACTGGTCGCCTTGCTGCAGGGCGCGTCCAGCTTCAGCCACCGAAGTAAACCGCGCCCCTGCCCGGTAACGAAGACGTTACATCCGTCCGGTGTTGCTACTGCGTTCGGACCATCGCCATCGACGGACCAGCTCTTGCCCGATCCGCCCACAAGGGTGGCCGTCGCGGAAGCGGAGCGAGGATCTATTGCCCAAACTTGGTTATAATCGCCATCGGCGAAATAAAGGCAGCTCTCGTCCGGCAGAAAGCTACTTGAGTCGAATACGGCGCTTGCAATGTTCGAATCGCCGGTGGAGAAATTAGACACTTCCTTCCATGTCCCGCTGGCGTCCAGCCTCCCGGACTCTGTGACCCCCATCGACAGAATCCGAACGGGATCGTCGATGTCGGAGATGAACAGTTCCGTCTTCTTCGGATTGAATGCCACGCTCCATACAAAGTCCGCAGTTATCTCGACGCTCGTTCGATTGCCAGTCGCCGTGGAAAGCCACACGACACTCGACTGAGTGCCAATACTCGGAGTTGCCACTGTGACCAGCTGGTCTCCTTCTCTGTTCACGTCGAGACAAAACACCCGCGCCATTGATATGTTGTCAGTGATATTATTCCTCCACACAAAGCCAGATGTGTCACTCAGGCCGCTCCCTGCGCCATACGGCCACCAATAGCTGAGTACCGAGCTATTCTTGAAACCTTGGCGCGCCCGCGCAAGATCGGCTTTTCGTATCGAGAGCCGCCGAGTTGGACTTCCTCTTCCGTTCTACAGAACTCGTCCGGGATGAAGTACATCTGGGTATCGGTAGGATGAAACGTGAAGTCACGAATGACAGATCCGCACGCCCGCCCAGAAGCCATCGTCTGAAAGTCCGGAGAAGGGGTATGAACGACAATGGGAGGGACTGCGCTCGGGTTGCTCGGTAGGAAGAGCTGGGGCTGCAGAAGCGTCATGCTCGCTTTCCACTCGGCCACTGGAGGCGAGGAAGGCGGCGCGGTGGACACCATCGCCATACTGCGCCTGACCTGCTGGGCGAGGAGACGTGCTCGGCTGTCTCCCGGCTCTGCAGCATTGGCAGCCGACGACCATTGGCCAAGCACCGGTCGCTCGACAGCGGCGTCATTTACCCGCATAGGAACTGTGGCCAGCAGCAGAACCCCAGCAAGGGATTGGAGTAGGAAATAGCGGGAGAGGGAGGCCAGGCGAAAGCTTTGGAAGCCAGGCAAACAGGCACCACGACCGTGCACCGGCCATGATGCTCAGCCATCTTTCGTCCCCCGAGTCACTCGCGCCCGCGCACACTTGACCCTGGCGAGAGGAGGATGGCTTGATTACTACTAATGATCAGAGCGGAACAAACCAGTCGAAGAAAGGGCCTCGCCACACCACTCTTGAAATGGGGGGATTTTTAAAGAGCTCTCAGACGTTCTCAAGAGTTGGGCTTTCAAGAGTTTTCGGCCCCCTCGCCACACAGCACTCTCGAAAGGGCGATGGTGTTGGACAGAGGATGAAAAACGAGAATCACCTTTCTCGGCCTTTTGGCGCAGATCAAGTGCATTGTATCTGTTCGGATCAGTTTAATATCTGATCCGTGATCCATCGGACCACAACCAGGAAAAAAACAAAAGGAAAATACAGCTCTGTTTTTTTCGCATGGCGTCAGGATAAGGGCCTGACAACTCTTGAAAATCGAAAGTCCCTCAAGGGTTCGGCCAAGGATGCTTATCCTGACAACTCTTGAAAATCGAAAGTCCGTCAAGGGTTCGGCCAAGGACGCTTGAAAACGCACGAGTTGCAGGCTCTTGAAAAGGTGTGAAGAGCCACTCTTGACTGCCCCGAGTTTGAAACAACAAGTACTTGGCTCAGCTATCAATGCAGAGCCTGAAAAAGGGCTGCACACCGAACCGTGCCTACCCGCCAGCGCAACAAGGAAAAAATGTTTTGGCTGGGGGCGCCAGCCTTTGAGGGCGGCACCCCGAGCCTCCGGAAGTTGCAGGGCGTTAACGACAACGGCCGACGGCTTATGTATGGGCGAGGCTGTGCGGCAAAACGCCAGAGCAAAAAAAAATAAAATAAAAAAAAAAGAACGCCAGAACAACTGGAGTGGGCTCAAGAAAACGAAAAGCAAGCGCAGATCCAGACGACAGGAGGGAGATCTTCAGGATTATTGGGCCCGAACTCCCTATGGGCATCAGAGTGGAGGTCTGGTTGAAGAAGTCTGGAGCTTCTTCTAACCCAACCCTCACCCAACTGGAGGACAGGGTGATGGATGCATCTATTGGCCTAGTAGAATGCAGAATCTGGCAGAATATAGTGAAGAAAGGAACAGTGACCACCTTGTGGACAGATAATGCTGAGAGTCTTCAGGTGGAACCACTTCTATACCGTTGGCGGGAGATTAATGGGCCACAATCCCGGACACCTCTAGCTTCCTACTCTACGAAGGTGGGGGTCCAAATTTTAAGATCTGCTGTTAAAAAACAGCCGGTAACAACTGCCTCAGAAAGGTTAGCCAAGGAACCTGGCTTTGTACTGGGCAATCTCGATCTGTTTGGTCACTGGAAAGCCTTAAGAACCATGGTCTCTCAAAAGCAAGCCAGCCTCGTTTGGCTACAACTCCTATTGGCGATCCCGTCAGCGGTATGGCTTAACGCTAAAGGGATGGACGTATCCAAACAGTGTGCACGCTGTAGGTGGGGTTGGGAAACTGCTTCCCATATTTGGCTATGCTGTCCTTTTTCAGCACAGGTATGGGAATGGTGGAGAACCAGATGGAAGTTTATTGCGGACGGTAAGTTTCCTTGGACCCAGGAGTGGTCCCTCTACGGTTTGACACAGGAACACTGTGATCTGTCCTCAGGAGAGCCCTATATGGCACGGACTTGCAGAGGAGTAATTATGGAAGTTCTGTGGAAGGCCCGTAATAAGGCTACGTTCCAGCAAGAAGAAATCTCCTTCCAGAGCCAGGTTTCAGCTATTCTGACACGGATTAGGCAATGCATTCAGATCGACTGGCTATCGCCTCGCCCACAACCCTTGAAGAACCGGCACTGGTTCTCCAAAACCTGGGCCCGCAACCGTTGCTGTGCTTCAATATCTCCTCAAGGAAATTTGATATGCGCCGACTGGCTACTGGGAGAACGATGATCTTATAGGAGCCGTGGTACTAGGCTCCGCTGTGCCTTCCTTCATATTTCAGGCCGCTTTTAGGCCACAGTCCCAAATTAGTGTTGATAGCTTAATGTGTGTTACACATTTGGGGAGGAAGTATAGTTGACTCATTGTCCTAAGGTTGGCTCATGTCTGGGTGGCTGTCTTTAGTTTATTCGGGTAGCATTATTACCTTAAGGCTCGTAATTTAGACAAAGGCTGCATAGGTTGGATCATGACTTAGGGCTAAAACAGGATTAGTCGTAGGTGGTAAGTTTATTTGAGGTACAGATGAGTACTGGGACACAAAAGCTAAACCGGCTGATGCTGCCGGGATAACTCCGGGTTGAATTGTGAGGTCCCCGGCCTCGATCTTATATGAAATATACAAAGGGTTGCTCAAAACGAAAACGAGGTTTGGCCTGGTTTCGTAACACGTGGGCGAAGGACGGCAGGTTAGCATCTGTTTCAGGGGAAGGGAAACTCATTCTTACTCCTTGGCTGTTACAAGGAACAATAGAGCAAGAATAGAACCGTTTTAGGTTCGTCTGGTTGGATAGTCAGGTGTTAGAGGAAGCAACTCTGTAGGATAGGCGGAGTAGTGTGGAGGTTTCTAGGAAGGGAGGACATGGACAAGGATCAAGTTAAGTATGACAAGTTCGGTGCCRACGGGCCCGAAGTTCCCAGGATACCCTTGAGCTTTAACAAGTAGGCCCTGTTCTCACCACAAGGGGCTTGAGTCGGGTTGGCCAGGGAGGAAGCTTGGTCCCTACAGATGAGTTGTAAGAGCAAGGTACTGACCATGATGGTCCATGCTGAGGAATTGGGAATTTTTACTGGGCTTCAAGTGGATACTTTTTTGGGAAGTAATCTTCGTAGGGCAGGACGCTGGACCTGATTTCCAGCAATAGTTGG